TGCAGAGGGTTGCGTAAAATATTTAACATCAAGTCATAAAATCTGTATCCTTGGTACGATTTTCAAAAATGAGATGTCACATGAAAGGGCTTGACCTGCAGATGTGCAGCATGGTTTTAGTCTTTTAAAGGGTTGCCATATATACGAAAATCAAATTCAAATTATTTATTAAGTTAAACGAATTATCCCAATATGGGTATCAAAAGAAATGGTTTTGAATCAGTTGTATTTTCTAGCTAAATGTAGGAGGGTCGCCACCTGTTTCAAAAGTAAAATTTAGTTAAATTATACAAAAGTCTTTCGCTTAAAATACTATACAGTACAGAAAGAGCTTACAGAAACACAATTAAAATATTTTTGAGGTGCCTGAAGAGGGTGGCCACCTGTTTAAAAAGTTAAACTCAAATTATTGAAGCAAATCTTATTATTATAGCTCCGTTATGTTTGCGATAAATATTTAACGCCACGGTACAGGTAGCATATGACGGGTATAAAAAACGAATAGCTGCGTTAAACGCCAATTGGGCGGAAAAAGACTAATGCAAAGACAAGAATATAATATCAAAAACAAATATAAAGATAAGATGAAGATGAAGATGATGAAGATGAAGATGAAGATGATGATGAAGATGATGATGAAGATGAAGATGAAGATGAAGATGAAGATGAAGATGAAGATGAAGATGAAGATGAAGATGGAGATGAAGATGAAGATGAAGATGAAGATGAAGATGAAGATGAAGATGAAGATGAAGATGAAGATGAAGATAAAATTATATATGTAGGGACTACACGCACTGAGTTTTTTTTTATGTGCCGGTGTTATGAACCAAGAAATCTGGTACATTAGTTATGGGAATATAGAATTTTGAAAATTTGACTTTCAATGATTAAATTTGATTGTAATGAATTGTAATGAAATAAGAACATAGATGTACAAATATGAAGAAATATGAAAATGAGTAGTAATACATATTTTTTCAGCGCGCATTCGATTTGTCTGATTTATCTGATAAAGGGAGCGTGATATATGGAAAAGTTGAATGAAAAAGTGCTTTCAAAATTCGATTAAAAACGCTTTCATATATTAACCTCAAATAAATCTTAGTTTTAACTTTTTTTTAGTACTTTTATGAGCTCCTTCCTATATTAGAAACGTTCAATACAAGAAACAATACCTCCAATTAAATTTTTTTGAAATATACTTAATCTGCTATTTTAAGAAATAATTGACTTACAACTTTTTGTAAATATTTCAAAATTAGTATATAATGATGCGTGATGCAAAAGGAATAATAATGAAGGTTAAACACGTTGACTAGATTAAAAGAAAAATAATAATTTATTTTTCTATGTATTTGGTTCTCTAACAAGTAAATACTTTTAGTTCATTTCTTTTCTAAGCACACGATTCCCTTAGAAAAAAATCTTTAATTTGACCCTCCAAAAATTCATTTTTTTTTGGTTTCTTATGTGAAACGACCAACCAACTATCCTTACTTTTGGATTACCCCTAGTATATGTACAAGTATATACTACGCATGCATTATTAGGGGCAGTTGTTGGCAATTCTAAGGACAAGCAAATCAAATTGAATGAACTCTAAAATAAGAAGAAAATATCAAGCTCAACGATTGCGAAACTGAATGCATATAGCAGGCAAATCTGAATCTATAAGCAACTAAGTAAAACTATTTAGTATACATATATTTGATTTGCAAACACAGTTATTAATACATACATTGACTAGACGTTGCAAGGTGGCCACATATGAGTTTTCACTATGCACAATTGCCGCCACAATGTGACGCCGTTTCAGCTGTTGCTGCGACAAGCCTGGCGGTGCGGGTGGCAACATTGGCGTAATGAGGCGGGAATGCGCATTGTTTGCAGTGCCATTGGCGCGACTGCCCGGCGGCAACATTAGATCTAAATCGAAACATGATGACGTTAAAGCGGCCTCTTCATCGTCGTTCTGCAATAACAACAATTTCCACAAATGTCAATAAAATTCTGAAAAATCTTGTTTTCGCTTCTTTCCACTTCGTTACACTCACCTCTGGCACACCAGGCATTTTATTGGCGCTTAGCTTTTGTGGTGATGCATGCGCTGAATCGCCGCAAGCTGAAAGCGCTGCTGAATCCGGTATATCAATGCTTGAGGCTGCCGATTGGCGGCCATCTCGTCCACCCACATCGTACTGATGTGATGAACCGCGCCGTATCGAGAACCAGCGTGACAATCGCCCACCTGGCGACTCACCTGGTGTGGTGAGATCCTCGCGAGCGCTTTGATGTGCTGTCGGCATGGTGCAGGCGCTAGCACGACGTGTATGCGTGCTACTGCCACTGCCACTGCCACTACCACTGCTATCAGCGGCGCCGTTGCTGGCCGCCGAATTTATTGCGCAATTCGTGGATGTGTTGTTGGCAGCGTTTCCACTGTTCGAGGAACTCGTGCGCCATTTGTCAAAGGACAAATGCTGTTTGGCCTTGTTGAGTGTGGAACGCAATTGTGAATTGCGTTGATTGGTTGCGCTCAACGACGTCACGCTGCTGCGTTCACGTTCGCGTTCACGTTCGTCCTCCGTTGCTGCTTCTTCGTCGGAAGCTGAGTGCTGTGTGCTGCTATTCGCGGCGCTGGCTTCTTGATGTATCGATTGCTCCGAACACCAACTGTCCTCGGATTGTACGGAGCGTGTAGAGGCGTTGTGTTCGAGACGCTTCTTTGAAGCTGAATTTGTGGATGCGGCGCTTTGGCTATTGCTTGCGGTATCTGTGTTTGCAGTTGCAGTGCTTACACCAACGGCCGCTGAGCCGCCGTTGGTGCTGATACTTCCGCCAGCAATTGTGTTATTTGTATTCGCAACTAGGGCGGCTGTGCTATTTTCCGCCTCGTTAGTTGGCTTGCTGACGCTGCTAGGGCTGCCACAGCTTTTGCTATGCTGATGATGATGCTGCTGCTGTTGTTGCTTTTGATATTGTTGCAGCGGTGCTGCAAGCGGGTTAGAATTTAACAGCGTATGTAAGCCGTTATATGAGGTGCGCGATGAGTTTAGCGGGTCGTGACGACGCAGCGGCGTATTAGGGGCGTTGTGATGCAATTGTGCCGTCGTAGTAGTCGTGTTGCTGCCGTTGTTGCTATCGCCGTGTGGAGATAGCTCAGAGCTATTAGTATCGAGTGCAGGTAGGGAGTTCTCCCACGCGCCAGAATTCAATTTGGACTCATCTGTTGGAAGATAGAGAGAAAAACGAAAAGAGAAAGGGTTTAAAATTGATTTCGGGCAAAAAAGCAATGCTTTTTGATTAAATAGAGCAAACAATTTATATGTGGCTGTGCTTAGCACCCAAGGCATAATGATGTGTTACAGGTTGTCAATATATTTATGGAAGTAAATATCGATACATTTATCGCTATCGTTATCGACACATACATACATATATCGATGCCTCAATGAATATATACATTTAGGTTGGTCCTTAAATGTACGAAACAAATTTCCTAAGCCTCAACCCCTAAGTCGATGCTACTATAGTCAAATATATCACATATAAATTTTGGTCCCGATTGGAGACGGTTAAGGCGCATCGCACAGCAGTAAAATTCAGAATCCTCTAAGGAGAGTCAAAAAATTAAAATAAATTTTTTTTTCATCTCACACCCAAAATCGATACTACCGTAGTATAAATTTTTGCCCCGATTGAAGTTGGTTAAGGCGTGTAGCACAGGGGACAAAATTCAGATTACCCTATGAAGACTTCTTAAGTAACTCTAATCGGGAGAAAAATTTATATGTGATATCCTCGACTTTAGTAGTATCTATTTTGGGTATTAAATGAAAAAAAAATTTTAATTTTTTCAGTCTCTATAGAGGAATCTGTACTTTGCCCCCCTGTGCGACACGCCTTAACCGTCTCCAATCGGGACCAAAATTTATATGTGATATCTGTGACCTGGTATTACCGATTGAGGGGGTGTAACTGAAAAAATCTTTCATTTGATTTTAAGGACCACCCTAATATACATATATCGGTATCATGAAAAAATATTTGCTGCGTATATATTTTGCGGCATTTCTCCCCGTTTTTACGGCGATTTTCATTTTATCATACAAATAGATAAACGAAATCTATTAGAGCAGAATTTTTCTATATTTTTCATTGATATCAGTTTATATTTCTCAATGAGATTTTTTTGCGATGATGAAGATGGTACTTACATAGGTATGTATATTAGGGTACCCTTCGAAAATGCTTTGTTTTGGAAATTTCAAGACCCCTGATTTTATTAATTTTTATGAGAAATATTATTGCCTATTTTTATAGACTTTTTAAAGGTCATTTACAGATCGCGATCTGTCGATTTAGGTCAGAAATACAATTTTGTAGATTTATGAGTTTTTGAATGACTATTTCAAAGAGCGAATATGATCTGAAGAGGATATATAGGCCTTTAAAATGGTATAAAATAATCCATTGTCGGATTTGGCTTGTTGGGATTTTTTATCGGGCAAAAAAAAAAACATATTTCTCTTAATTTTTTAAATTTTGACCATCGATAAAATTAAATATATTTTTAAATAAAATGATAGCCCATTTTTTGCAATTACATAAAAATTGTCGAAGTTAGGCGACTTTTCTTAAATACGGCCTTGAATTTATACATTATTTACATGCCATTTAAGTATTATGCATACTCAGATTCCTTAAATTAAAAAAAAAAAAAAAAATGTTTGGTTGCTGGTTAGTTGGTTGGCAAGAGATTAAATAAGGATAATTTAGGAACTTAAATAATCTGAGCCTGCATAATACATAAATGGTATGTAATCAATGCACTGTTACAATTTTCGAGTGTTTTAATTGACCTCAAAAGGAAAGAACTCATTTTCTTATGCTGGATTTCCACTAGGCATTAAATGGCAAAAATGACAAATGACAAAGTCGGGCATTAAAAAATAATCGTGTCATTACATTAAAAAATAGACATTAAGTTCATTTCCACATGGCATTTTTTTATATGGCATACATTTTTTATCATTTCAATGCCTATTGGAAATTCGGCATTAAGTGTAATTCCTATGGGAAAACTAAAGGCTCGATGAGGGACCTCTTATTCCAGTTTTTTCTTTTGACGTGGTCTAATGTACATACATGTGTACATATATACATATGTACACCTACTAAAAACTCAAGTTTGCAAGTGAAGTGTCATACTCATCGTTTGTCAATAAAAAAAAGAACAGTTTTCAAACAAAACACTTTAGTACATTTAACACATTTATTCGACACTTTCGTTTATCTGTTGGCGCTCCGAAAGGCCATTAACGTCCATTAAATCAACAAACTTGTAAATGTCGGCAATTCAAGCGCAAGCAAGGAATCGTTTAAAATAAAAATCAATTCGTACACACAAACGAGTGCCAAGAGTACCGGCATATGTATGTACATACATATATGAATATACATTAGACTTTGTCAAATAAAATGAAATTTTTTTCTTTCGGATCCGTATGAAAATTTCGTTGCAAGTCACGAAAAATTATTTGTGCGAAACTTCATGCGCTTATCTTAATTTTTCAGTTAGCACTCGCAAAAATAAGGGTTTTCAATAAAAAAAAATAATTCCGCAACTTGTTTTTTTTTTTTTAATAAGAAATTATATAAAACAAATAAAAGAAATGACCAGGTAGCCCATTCAATTTTAGTACAGTAAGTGAAAGTTTGAAGTAGCTAAGTCTTACCGTTAATTTTTCGCAATTTTTTTTGTTGAAGGTTTCGTTCACTTCTTTCTATGTATATATTTAAACAAGTGTACGGAAGTTTCTGAGTTTTTTTTCAGTTTTATAGCCCAATCAATTTTAGTCTGATAATGTGCAAGTTTCAAGTGGCTAAAAGTTATTGTTGTTTTTTTTAGAATTTTTTTCGCCAAAAGTGTTGCGGTTATCTTCCATATACAAATAAATTGAGTTTATTCATTATATGAAAGCCAATGCGAAAAAAAAAAAAATCTAAAAATTTAACGGTAATTCGTAGCAACTTGAAATTTGCACATTATCAGACTAAAGTTAAAGGGGCTAAAAAACTGTGTACTCAAAAAAATTCTAACACTTCCGAGAAAAAAGTTTGAAATTTAGGTGAAAGTTTGTTGCACTTTTTTGTAGTTTTCTACAAATTGTTAAACTTGGGTTTATATGGTTTGTGTCTGAGAATGAACTATATTTTAATTGAAAATTCTTAAAAATAAATAAATAAATAAACATAAGTGGCACACAATATCACTTTGAAATGGCGCGGTATAGGTATGACCGATACTGTATGTATGTATCTTAAAATTCATTTATTTACAAACAAAGAACGGAACGCCAGCCACTTGTTTGGGTTTGGTTTGCGGTGTCATAAAAGACGGCAATGTTCTACAAAAGTGATTGTCACCCACGCATTGGCTAGTGAAGTGAATCCACGTACTGGAGGTTTACTGGTCAAATACATAAGAATATACATAGTAGATATATATATATATATATAAGTACACACATATACGAACATACATTGTACAAACAAACATACATTTTACTTTTTACTGCAAAGTTAGATTTGTGCAGATATAAAATACAAACATTTATTTCATGAATTATGTAGAACGTAAATTTTTTTATTGCAACATCCATATAGAATACCGCTTAGGGGCAGCTTAATTTTAAATTGTTGCTTTTATGACCAATAGGGCAAGCCATAAAGTGCTTTAAGCTTTAAAATCATTCAAATGAGCGTTTTAAAGCTGGTCACGTGCATGGGCGGTAATCCAAATATGTATGTACATGTGTGTATAACTCCAAAGTATAAAAGTTACACAAAAATATTAGATATATAGAAAACATTACGCAGCGGTTTTACTGAATACTGTACTGAAACGAATTTTCGGAAAAAGTGCAAATTTTTGTATAGGTGCATTTTAAAACCGTAACCATAGGGGTATTCACGATCCAATAGCATGATTGTTGTTGTTTCATATGTTCAAACAACAACAAAATTAGCCAAGCATGCTATTTATGCCAGCTATGCACCATGCTAGACAGTATGCTCCGGATCGTGAATACCCCTCATGTTTTTAATGATATTAACACAAGACCTAAAAGGACAATGCAATTTGCAGACATGTTCTGATGAAAATATTTGTAAAAGGATTTTGTTTTTTGAATTCATAAAGCTCTCAAACAAAGAGCATGAACAAAATTTTAAAATTTTACAATTTTTGTCTTCGCGTTGCACATTTTTGCGAATTCATGCAAGTATCGCAAACCTATCCATCCTAATGTGAATGCTTATAAATAAAAAAACTGTGTATGTATGCATGTGGGCTTTAGGTATTTTATTTTTTATTTTTAATGCGCATTTGAGTGACTAGTTCAATGAGTAATCATGGATTTGAAAAGTTAGAGTGAAATGTTTTATATGAATACAATTGCACCTACACATGTATGTATATAGCCGTGTACATATAGTGACTTAAAAAAGTGCTCAAAAGTTGATTTTCTGCAAAAATTCAGAGTTTGGCTCAGCTAACATTTTTTTGTTAATTCTTTATAAAAGTCTTGATTAGGCTAATAGCCGAAAGGTGTGAATTTCTAGAAATTTTATGGGTACGAATAATGTTTAGCCCTCAGATTTTTCTCAAATAAACATGCATTTTGTAAGAGAGAAAACATTACACGATTAAAAAAAAAATCAAAAACTCAACGCGGGTTTTTAAAAATTATCAAAAATCAACGTGAACATTCGGTGGGAAGGCCGGTAGAGTTTACCCACAGAAATTTATTGTTTTTGTGAAACAAACAAAATGAAATATTCATAACAAATTCCTTTCTAAAAAACTAATAGCGCAGCTTAGTAAAAGAGAACTTTATCTAAAACAAATATTTTGAAAAAAAAAATCGGGAAAGAACTGCTGAGCTTTCAAAATTCTAGTTAATAGGTTAATACAAAAATTTGACAAAAACACCCTTAGACCTTGTTGTTTTCTCAAATTTTCTTTAAAAAAATATAATTGCCAAATTCGTGCTGCCCTAATGGATGTATCAAGTACGAGGATGTCGAAGAGCAGGGGGAAATCATAGAGGAGATGAAGCCGAAGAAGAAGGCCAAGGGCAAGAAGGCGTGCACACCATAATCATAAGTATCGAGCCGTATGAATTGGACGAGCCTGTTGAGAAGGGCAAAAAGAAGGCTGCG